TAGAATCCAGGTGGCAGAAGCTAAAATAAGGACAGAGTAGAAAACAAGAGGAATGGCTATACTCTCCTGTACATAAAACTCTAGTCAGAACACTGCCTTTATCATGTGTCCAGTATATGTCTCCCATCGGGTTCGTGCTGTACTTATTGTGTGCGTCCTTGGATCCTGGGGGAGATCACCTAATTGACTAAGTTTGCATCATTGGTAGCCTCCTTTCTTCAATAATTAAAACCATGTAAAGGAGACAGATGGACCATGACACCATTCAGCTTTCCCACTACACATCTGAAGCTCTTCTTTCACTAAGACTACACATGACATTTCACTAACTACCACTCCAAACCTCTATTTTGTACATAATTCAAATCCTTATATTTAAACTACTTTTAAAGAGAAGTGAAGTTTGAATAAAAATGGACTTGGAAAGAATAAGTGAAATAACCAAAACTCAGACAAACGCCACACGTCCTTTGTCATACTTTGTCATAGAGAGTTCCAAGCCATATATATGAATATATATATATATGAATACATGTAAATGTGGATAAAATATTATAAAGGAAATAAAGGGAAGATAAATACATAGGTGATGAGGAAGGATATGATGGGCAAAGGCTGCAAAAGAAAAGAGACTGGTAGTTAGGGGTATCTTGGAGTAGGGGAGATGAAAAAAATTAAATATGAAAACACACTTTGTTTGAAAATGCTGTAATTCCTAAAACCTTCTGTGCTATGTTTTAAAAATGGTTTTTAAAAGACCTTGGCAACTGTTACTAGTGGATACATGCCATTTGCCCCTACGTGTGATCTTCAGGCATCAGTCTTACATTCGATTATAGACAAACTTTGTGTTCACTCTTAAATACTGAATTCTTCGAGGCAGAGTATGAAGCATCATAAAGAGCCAAGTGGTTGTTTGTTGTAGCTGTTTTCTGTATATCTACGGTGAAAATTGCATCTTCCTATGGAGATATTTTCACCCATCATATGTGGTTGAGCAAATGCAAAGAAGATGAGCAATCGCATCTCAAGATAGATGGTAGAGCCACTGTTGGGCACTGAAGCATAAGGGGGAAAGGTCCTTTACTCTACTGAAGCACCCTGATTGGTCTCTTTGATTCTCTCCAACTCCTAATTCCTAATTCTATGCACCTCAAATCAAGGTCCAGAGTATAACAAAAGTGAGTGGGGTCTCTGAATTGATGGGTGACAGATTGCTTCAGGATTTAGCTCTTGACTTCTTTCCCATCATTGTGTGACAAAATTGGCAACTAGGAGTGAAGGATAGAATAGAGCCCTGTCATGGAGATTTGTGAGTATATTGTCTTTTCTTCTTATTCCAGTATATGAAAAGAGGACATTGGTCCCAACTCTTGGCTCTTGAATTCAGCCACTCATGCCTCAAAGGCATGTGCCAATTCCTCAGTTTCTCTTCACTGTAGCATTTTGTCTCTGTCATTGAGGTCAGCATGGAAACACAAAACACTCACAATGGCTACAATATTATCCAAGAACTGCAACCATTTATAAAGACTTGGCTTGACATCTCAGACCAACTTGATATTTTCCCCACCTTACCATGTTGTATGACAGTTGGTGAATGTAGAGAGTAAAAATCAGGAGACAGAGATCTTGGATTCAAATCTTACCATCCTATTTGCCTCATTTCTTCTTTATAAACGCAGACAATAATAGTAATACTTTGTAACAGTTTCGAGAGCATTCAGTGGGGGAAAGCCCCAACAACTATGTCAGAAATACCACATTCAGGAAATGTTCTTCCATCTGCTTAACCCCTCACCTCACTTCATCGCCCTGTCTCCCTTTTCCTGGGAAGACTCACCCAGTCTGTGACTGAAACACTGTTCTGACCAGTACAGAGCCTGGGGCGTGTCCATAAAACTGCACATCTCATCAGGATGTAAGATGACACTCTTACCTTGACCAAAGGACAAAGGAAATCTCTGAGGTTTGCCTGTGTGCTTTCCTTCAAATTACAATGTTTTTGATCCTTCCTCCTCAACAGGCTAGAGGGCACCTAAGTTCTTATTATGGAGTTCATGCCTTAAGCCAGTTTTCCTTAATTTTATTTGTTTTGAATTTGGTTCTTTAGAATTTTTTTATTTCTGACATTTATAAATTATTTTCATGGTGAGAAAAATCTAGGGATTATAGTTTTAATGTATTAGTAAGAAATATTAAAATAAATGACAAGCCATGAACTGGTGAATTAAAACAACTAATAATTGGATTGGAGAATTATGAAAATTCTGAATTCAGTGAACTGGCACCAGTCTAATTTAAATGTCTAATTAAAAGCTATTTGGAGGAGCAGCATATACAAACTACACTGCAGTCATCTATGACTGGGAAGAAGCTTCATAACCAGAAGGAAAATCAGAATTGCATGAAGACACGGGAACGGGCTGTAATCTTTAATCAGAGTACTCTGTTTTAATCAAGACCTGTCTGACTCTCCGTCCCATTACCACTTCATTAAAACACGCTGTCCCTGGTGCTGAAGCTGCTGTTAGCTGTTTAATGGAAGAGTAACCAAGCTTCAAGGCAGAAAAGGAGGTAGCAACCCAGGATAGAAACAGGAGCTTCCAAAGTTGGCAGAGAGCTGCAGAAGGAGAAAAGGAAGTCAAGATTAGAACTGATTTAACCAGAACAAGCCTTCCATCCTGCAAGTTGATTCATCCACAGGGCTATTCTTAGCGGAGGGCTATTTAGCACATTGTCAAATATGTCATTCTAACAAAGTGTGATCGTTAGTACAAATAGCTCATAAGCAATGACATATTTAGATTGCCTGTGCAGAAGTGGCAGGGTATGTGCAGCTAGGCAGAAAGAATTCCATCTTTATGCAGGGAAAAAAGATTCCTAAAACTTCTAAAATTGGGTTTATTTTTGAGACTTACCAGTCTCTGGGACAACCAGCTTGTCATGGTTAACTTTGCCTCTTTGTTTTCTCAACTGTAATGTAAGCAAGAAAAGACATCTTCTACACGGTCTTGTTATGAGAATTAATTAGAGAATTGATGAGTTCATATATGTGTAGATATGTCTCTGTACACATATATGATGTGATGTGAACAGAGGCAAGGAGAAGAGTAATCTCTTACTAACGAGCTACTTTCATCACTATTATTAATATTATCAGTAAAAAACTTTTTCCCACACAGCAGAATGGCTTGTGACAGCTTGGTAGGATTTGCTGAAATAAATCCAATATTGGGGTGAACCTCACTTATATTGCTAGTTAAAAAGTCCTTTTATTCTAGAGGATGGACCCTTTCTCTGAATATGCCTTTTGTCATTAAGATGCCAAAAAAATCTATCTCTCACCTTTTCCCTTTTTCCCATTTTGGTAATGTCATTAATTCAGTGCATCCTTCCACTCAGATTTACTTTGCAAAACTCCAGCACTGACAAGACACTACAATGGATTACATTCCCACCTCATTGAAGACTAAGGATGACAAACATGGAAGCTAATAGACTCTCTACAAATGAAAGAGCTGCAGCAGACACAGCCCTCTGTAACGTGCTGGCACGTGTGTAAACATGCATACCAGTTAAGCTGTTTGGTTATAGGTAGGGACACTCTGTTTGATGGAGTATTTTCCTCATGAGCTCAACATAAATGTCACGATATCCAGTGTAGGCCCACACCTCACTGCTGAGTCCACATTCAGGAACCTCACACTGTGTCTTTCTCTTCTCATCTCCACTTTCTTGATTCTGTGTAAATAACATAGTGCAGCAAAGGGATGTAACTTAGAAAATAAATAGAAAGGTGACAGACAAAAACCTTTCTCCTCCTTTCAGACACTCTATCAGTAACGTAAACTAAAAATTAATTAGTTGATTAATGAATTAATTAAAATCCCCACAGTCAAAATAGGGTGAAAACAGCAGATAAATTACCCTCCTGCTGAATAAATGAACAAATCAATAGATCCCTAGGTCGTATACATTGCCTTTGCGTCCAATCAAGTATTTTTGTTTTGTTTCATTTAAAAAAAAATAAAAACTAGGAAACTTAAACAACCAGGGGCCATTTTCACAGTTTACCATCTAAGAAAACACAGAAGCAGTAATTAAAACAATCTGGGGCTATAGGAAGATAGACAGAAAATCTGTCACCACTGAGACTCTAAAGAAGGGAATAGAAAGAGTCCTGAAGGATGAAGCGGCACTGACAGTTTGTTACATCGAACCCCAGCATGATGAGCAGGGAAAGAACACAGCAGAGCTTGCTGCCAGGGGAAATGTCAGCTGATGTGAGAAGCTCGTGGAAAAACACCAGAAAGGTGATGACAATTCTGCTCTTTTGCCAACTTCAGAAAGGGCCTGAATTTCCTTTCTGCAATAATTATCCCTGTCGTCATTCTCATGGACTCCTTTTGGAAAGAGACAACCACACTGCTTGTCTTAGCCTGCATCACCTTGAGGTCTAGGGTTTAAACTTTCTGAACTTGTATCCTGAAAGTATCAATAATTCCTGTCACTTGATTTTTTTTATGTTTCATTTATTTATTTATTTTTTTATCCTGGTTGCAGTTTCCCTCGCTCCTCTCCTCCCAGTCCCTTCCCCCTACCTCCTGTCTTCAGTCTGCCTTCACACCCCCCATCCACTCTATTCAGAAAAGGTCAGACCTTCGAGGAATATCAACAAAACCTGGCATATCAAGTTGCACAAGACTAAGAACCTCCCCATGTATTAATGCTGGGCAAGGCAACCCGGTATGAGGAACAGGGTCCCAAAAGCCAGCATAAGAGTCAGAGACAGACTTGCTCTCACTGTTAGGAATCCCACAAGAAGACCAAGCTATGTAACTGTCACATCTATGCAGAGGGCCTAGGTCAGTCCCATTTAGGCTCTCTGTTGGTCGAGTCTCTGAGAGATCCAATGAGCCCAGGTTAGTTGAATCTGTGGGTTTCCTCTGATGTTCTTGACCCCTATAGCTCCTACAATTTTTCCTTCCTCTCTTCAGCTGGATTTCCTGAGCTCAGCCTAGTGTTTGACTGTGGATCTCTGCATCTGTTTCTACCAGTGGTTGGATGAAGCCTATCTGATGGCCATCGGGCAAGGCACCAATCTGTGAGTAAAGCAGAATATCATTAGGCATCATTGCATTGATATTTATTTTTTCTCCAGTCATGTTGATTTTGTTTTAAATGCCGTAATTCTTTCAGGTGCACAGGCTCCTATTTGTTCACAAATATTCAATCAAGCCTAAATCACTAGCTCCACGCATTCAGTCTGCCGACTGTTGTGAAATTTCTCAATCACTTCAAGCTCCTAATGGGTGCTTTTAAAGGTGAATTTATTAGGAATACCCTGCAACTGAGGGCATCTGACCTCAATTGCTGTTCTTAACCCACTTTGAGAACAAATGAAACATAGTCAGGGTATCTGTTCTTTGGATCTAGCTTCATTCCTCTTGTTAAATATCAACTAAAAGAAGAACATACATAACTCTGTTAATATCACACCAAGTAGACTTTGGAACAAAACACTTACTAGAAAAAGAGCAGAACATTATATAATTATAGATAAGTTAATTTCCCATGGAAACATAGTGATATTACGTGTTTATGTGCCAGAAAACATATTTGCAATGGCTGAGAAAACAGCCAGTGGTAGAGAGCTTGCCTAGCAGATGCTGTATCTTAATTTGACTCACCATCACTACAAAAATAAATAAAAATTAATAAATAAAAATATATTTAAAATCCAACAAAATGTCTGAAGCAAAAACCCCTAGAAGTGAAAAGAAAAGTAGATCATCATGGTTATTGTCGGAGACGTCAAGATTATTGTCAGCAACCGAAAGAACTGGCCAGAGCAGTAAAGATCTAAAATAATTCAACAATATCGTTAATCAGCAGGATCCGGATCTAAGTAACATTTTTCCAGTTAAATTGGACACCTTGCCCAATTTAGTCATACTCTAGACCACAAAACAAATGTGAAGACACTTTAAAATATTGAAATCATGTAGAAATAATTCTCTTACCCAGTAAAATAAAAATGTCACTAACAGAAATGAAACAAGAGCATTGTAAAATATTTATAAACTGAACATCAGATTCCTAAATAACCTGTGAATTAATCAAGGAAAACGTAAAACTTTGTAATTTGATGAAAAGGAAACTGCAGTGTATCAAAATTTGCAGGACACTGAGATAGTACCAAAAGATAAATTCCTAATTGTCCAAAAAGAAAAAAAAACTATGATTAATAACTTCAACCACACTTTATGAACCTAGAAAAAGAAGGACAAAATCAACCCAAACAAGCAAAATAAATGAAACAATAAATATTAAGGAAAATACTAAAATTATAGACAATGTTAACACAAGAAAATCAATGATATAGCATTGCAAGAGACTTGACTCTAGAGGGGATCCCAGGTGTTCACGGAGATGTCCCCAGCTAGGTCCTTGGGCAGCAGAACAGAGGGTGCCTGAACTGTCCTTGCCCCAGTATCATACTGATGATATCTTGAATATCACCATAGAATCTTCGTCCTGAGATGGATGGAGATAGAGACAGAGACCCTCATCAGAGCAATGGACTGAGTTCCCAAGGTCCAGTTGAAGAGCAGAAGGAGGGAGAAGACGAGCAAGGAAGTCAGGACCGCGAGCGGTTGGTCCACCCACTGAGGCAGTGTGCCTGTTCTAATGGGAGCTCACCAAATCCAGCTGGACCGGGTCTGAATGAGCATGTGATCAAACCGGACTCTCTGATTGTGACTGACAATTGGGGCTGACTGAGAAGCCATTGATAAAGGCACTGGGACTTGGTTTTACTGCATGTACTGGCGTACTGGGACCCTAGTCTATTTAGATGCACAGTTTCCTAGGCCTGGATGTGTGTGGGGGGCTTAGACTTTCCACAGGGCGTGTTCCCTGCCCTCTCTCAAGCAGGGAGGGGGAGGGAGGAGGGTGAGTGAGGAGGGTGAGTGAGGGAGCGGGAGGGGAATGGGAGGAGAGGAGGAAGTGTAAATTTTTGAATGAAAACATTAAAAAAAGAAAAATAACTGGTGAGCAGGTAGTAATGATAACAAAGAGAAAAGGAAGTATAAATTATTAATAATAGAAAAGATAAATGACTAAATATGAAATAGATTATTTGAATCTTTATCCAGCAAATTGTTTTCATAACTTTTAACTTTCCTAATTATTTATGTATTTCTTTATTGCATTTGTGGACATGTGTCTGTGCATGTCTCATGGTTTACCTTTGCAATTCAGAGAACTTATGTGAGTTGGTTCTTACACTGTGTGTGTTTTGAGTATGAAATTCAAGTCCTCAAGCTTGGCACCAAGCATTCTTACCTGCTGAGCCATTTTACCTACCCTGAACGCATAATTTCTTAAAGCCATAAAAAAAAAAAAAAAAAAAAAAAAAAACTTCTGGGCCCACATTTTCTCACTGGAGAATTCTGTTAACTAGTTGAAGTTGTAACATCGGTTTTTGCCTATGTTCTTGTAGAAACATTTACAGCTGTTTCTTCCAAGTCGCAGAATAAAAGAGGCACACAACATTAATTCTGTATACTGCCAATAGGTATATCGAGACTAAAATGAAAGAAGCAATATCTTAACAACTCAAAAACAGAGAAAGATTCAGGTACATATCTAAGAAAATGCTTTGACTTGCTTGCTGAAAGTGTCAAAACATGATGAAATAAATCAAGAGAGTTAAAAAGAAATGATATGTGCTGTTTTCATGTATCAGATGATTCACTGCAATGAAGATGCCATTTTCTGTAAGTTGATGGGTTTTGCTCACTTACTATAAAAATCCAAGAAACATTTTTGTCGATACAGACATGCTAGTTCTAACACTATGCAGAAACACAAATAAACGAAAGCAATTAAAATAAATTTGGAAAAGTAAAACAGAATAAATCCATTTTATTGATTCTAGAAGCAATCTATGAACACTAACCAATACTATATTAATGATGGAAAAATAAACATAGATTAATTTTGAAAATTACAAACCCTGGATATAAATACTGGTTCCATTGCTAGTGACCCCACAAACTGCCCAAGCCACACAACTGTCACCCACATTCAGAGTGACTAGTTTGGTCTTATGCAGGTTCCACAGCTGTCAGTACAAAGTCAGTGAGCTCCCACTTGCTCAGGTCAGCTGTTTCTGTGGGTTTCCCCATCATGGTCGCTTGGCTCTTTGGAGCCCATTCCCTATGGAAGGTTATCTTGCTCAGCCTAAATACAGAGGAGAAGGCCTTGGTCCTGCCTCAGGTGATGTGACAGACTTAGTTGACTCCCATGGGAGACCTCACTCTCTCTGAGGAGAGGATGGGGGTGGGGTAGGAAGAAGGTGATAGAAGAGGGAAGACAGGAGGGAGAGGGAACTGGGATTGGTATGTATAATAAGATTGTTTTAAAACTAAAATAAATAACAAACTCTGAAATAGAGCCCTACTAATAAATCTAACTTACCTTTTGACAAAGACACAACAGGATCACCATGGAGAAGGGACATTCTGTTAAGCAAAAATAATGGGCTAAAGGGGCATTCATAGGGACTTGACTTGCATGCTGTATAGTCAGGTAGTTTAAGGTAAATTGTAGGATTATAACACTTTTAGAGAAAGAATCAAATCTTCTGAATCTAATACTAGGCAAGGGGTTCTTAGACATGATGGACCATTGAACACAGGAACTCACAATGACTGTGACAGCATCCACAAGATCTTCACAAGTTCAAACTATCCAGCATTGACAGAGGAGCAGCTTGTGAAGTCTTATCACTAGTTGAGAAGCTGCTGGCTGTGAGCATAGAGTGTCAGTTTGCTTCAGAGATGCAAATCCTGAAAAACTGCCCCTGCTCCAGTTGGTGGCTCTGTATCAGTCCCATACAGGGAGCACTAAGTGAAATCGGTTGAGAGAGGAAGAGAGGGAAAGTAACATGGGATTAGGAAGAGAAAAGAGGTGAGGCAGTGGGAGAACTGGAGGAGAGGGACTGGGGAGGGTTTGATCAAAGTACATTATACTGAAAACATGATTTATAAAATAGAGAAAAGCACAAGAAATAGAAGAGAAACATGATAAAATGACACTCATCAAGATGAAAGATTCGCCCTTCCCAATGTAAGTTCAGAAGGCAAGGTGAAAAGCCATAAACTAAAAAAATTATTTAAATCCACTTATCTAAAGTAAGACTTTTACTGATGATATATAAAGAATTCATAACACTCTACAGAATAAAACAATTTATTAGAGTAATTGGAAAATACTCTAAAATATATTGTATAAAGTATACATATAGCAAAAAACTTCATGAAGAGATTCAATACCATTAGTAATGAGGAAAATACAAATTAAAGCCATATAAGATACCAACACATACCTATCGGAAGGTATTTTTGAAAATGGCATCACATAGTATCTAGATGTGTATAAATTAGGCCATTAATATAGATTTGGGATAGAGATTAAAATAGGCACACTGGAAAATAGTATTCAATGTCTCTAAAAGCTAAATATGCATCTACTACACAATCTAGCAATTACACTCCTGGGCATTTATCCCACTGACATAAAAATATGTTTGCACAAAAATCTAACTAATGTTTGGAGTATCTTTATTCATAGTAGCCAAAACATGGAAACAACTCAAATGCTCTATTATTGGTAAATGGCTAAATACTGTGTGTGCATCTACACAATTAACCCCAGAATTTATTTTTAAAACAGCAAACTATTGATGCACACTTAAAAGAATCTCTAGGAAATAATTCTGGATGTGAAAGGGCACATTCAAGAGCTAGATAATATATAATTCCTCTATTAATACATACTTAAAATGATAAATTATAGAAATGGGTAGAAAATTTATAAATGTTGAGGATTAAAGAAGAAACACAGGTAAAGCAGGAAAGTAGATGTTATAAAATGGTAAGAAGAATGAATTTTTAATAAAGAATATTTCACACTGATTCAGCCACTATGAAAATTAGTATGGCAAATTATCAAAAGGTTAAAACCAAATCTGCTATGTGACCCAGTTAGTGATAATTCTGTGGCCTATGGCCAAAGTACTCAAA